GATTGCTTGATTTTGTTTATTGCCACAGGTTTTATAGCTTGGGATGCTGTCTATTTTGGGAGGGAGGAAGGGAAACCACTTCCTATTAAAAAATCTACCTTAACCAGAGAACCCATATGAAAATAGTGTTGACAGATGATTCTACGTGTGCACTTTTAAGATGTTCTTCAACATCTCTAATCTGGTCCCTCGAATAAGCTACTGGAACTCAAGTACCAGTTAATGGTGAAGCCACAGCTTTTTTTTAAAGGAATGATAACTGCCTGGATACAATGGAATTGCAAAAACAGGAAATTTAAGGAAAAGTTTAAAATATACAGTAGTTGGTATAGTTGGTATTGTAACGGCCTCCCTCTACCTCACAAAGGGGGGTCGCTACGTCACTCTAAATCACTCTTCTTTTCCACTGCCACCAACCATTCCCTCAAATAAGTAGCTTCAGGCCAAAATATGATTCAAAATAAAAACTCAGGTTTATTGGGTACAAATAAAAGGAATGGTAAATCACTTATAATTAAATAATAATTAAATCACTATAATAACGGCACTAGCATACACAGACTCTCACAATATATCACAGATCTCCTAACTCCTTTCTAAACCCTATCCAAGCCCTATCAAAGCCCTATCAGTCCCTATCTAAAATCTCTCTTACACATTCACTCCCATTTATACAACAGCTCCACCACTTATGTCCCACCCTCCGTCACACCATTGGTGGATGACTCACAGCTTTACCAGTGACGGACAGCTGAGGTCATAGCTGTATGTAACAGGTATAATACAGTTTCATCTTTTCACAGTCACTCAAGGCTGGGGGAGGGCAGAATGAACAAGTGATCACATTTTGAGACATAATAACGTCAACATGCTTAAGTAAAAGAGCACAAAGTAAGCTTCTGTAGCACATTAAAGACTAATTTTATTACAGCACAAGCTTGTGTGGACTAAAGGCATTAAGATAAATAAATTAGTCTTGAAGGTGCTGTAAGGTGGTATGTCACTGATGTTATTTTGCAGAAAGGGGCCTCACCTTTTTACTCTAATGTTACAATAGACTTTTCTAATATGGCAACTACTTCCTTCTTAACTACAAGTTCCAGAGGCATCAATATATGTAGAAGAGAACAGGAAGAGAAACATTCATGCATATATGTACAGAACTAACTCAGTGTAAACAACAAGCAATCAAGCTTATCTAGTACCTTTTGAGTTCTACACAATTTACTGTTCAAATAATGAGCAGACGTTGCTCAGTAAATTGATCATGTAGAGAAAATAATTTTAGTGTTTTGGAAAATAGTCAGCTTCTGCTTTGGCCAGTTCAGAACCAGGCATTCATCTCAAGGCAAAAAACAAGTCAAGATTCAGAAATCTGAGGACCCTGGCCTCCTACTAATAACAGAAATTCAAAAATGATTTTAACTAGGCATGGGAGTTTTATATTTCTTGCACTGCAACCCCCAGAATTTGCTCAGAAACTGATAGTCTTTCTGTATATTAGGCACAGTGGGTAAAAACCAATTTTAAAAATTCATTTAAATCATGATTTAAATTTAAAAATATTTTTATTTAAATAATAAAATACTATACCCCAATCTTTTAAATTTAAATTGTGATAGAAATTATCATCTTAATCAAATGTATTTAAATCAGATCCGCCCTGCCATTAGGCTCTGTAAAGGGTATTCAATAATCTCTTGTGGCATCCCTGGAGTTTAGCCATTCACAGGCATTTCCCATCCGCACAGGCAAAGAGTCACTCTGATAGCTTAACAAGGTCCACATGTGATGCTGAAAAAGCCCCTCTTTGGACTAAGATTTCTTGGCTGCAGTTCTAAGAATTCTGTCTGGGGGAACTCCCATCAAATTTGGGGGGTTGCAGTGCAAGAAATATGAACGTCTCAACCTTGTTTTGAGACAGCTTTTTATGGTGTCCCAATCTGGATGCCTGCATTTCACAGCTCTATGGAAAGGGTCCAATCAATGTTTCTGTATAAAATCTTTGGCATGCCTCACTGTGTTTCTTATCTGACTCTATGCCTTGAAGCTGGCCAGCATAGGCTTGAGGCCCTGGCTTGGCTCAGATTTTTCAAATACTGGGTCAGAATCTGTTTTTTTTCTCAGCCCAGGACATCCTGTTTCAAGCACTGCTTTCTGACAATGTATTTCCAAAGGATCTGGCCCTATTCATCAAGAAAATCAAGACTCTCAGGTTGTCACCAGATCTGCTGGCCTCAATACCCCCATCCCAAGTTTTCCACATAATCAAAAATAGAGTCCTGGATACTGAGGGGCAAATCCTGCACAGTGGTGCACTAAAGATTTGCTGTCCACTATATTTCCAGCTTCCCCTCTCCCATATCAGGAGACCAGATTATCTTTATCTTTTAGATCATCCCCAGGACCGCTGGGTATTCACTCTTGCTAGGTGCAATGTTGCACCTTCCAACTTGGTGCAGGGCAAATTTAGGGGATTACCCACAGAGCTCAGAGTGCGCCCTTGTGGCCAGCGAGTGGTTGAATCATTGCAGCACATGCTGTTTTATTGTATGTGATATCAAGATATCCACCTGCAATACTTGAGCCCCTTCCTTTTCTCCAACTATGGTTCGGGTGACCCGGATAAAATCTGGCACCTGCTGAGTGGCACTAATTAAGGACAACAGCCAGATATATCCATTCCATCATGCAGAGGCATCACATTATGCTGTCACACACCATTGAGCCCTAACAATGTCATCTGGGTATCCCCTTGCATATTTGGCATATATGCTTTTTAATGTTTTACCATATCTCACTCTCTTGTACTCTATACCAATAAAGGTTCTGAAACTGAAACTTGTTTTTCTCTTTGTCAGAACTGAAGAAAATGTTCAGGCACAGTAGCTCCTGAGGAAGTGTCTACACCTGCCAAATAACTGACAGACAGGAATAAAGTTTTTGTGCTTAGTACCTTTAAACTGTTGTCTTTTAAAAATGAATTGCTAATCCTTTCTTATTTTTAGGCAAAAGGGGGAAGACAGTTTCAAGGATATTTTCTTCTTCAGGGACTACTAAAGCTGCTTTCAGATTACTAGGAACACAGACTTCTATGCAAGGAGAGTATTTTCTCTGATGGCCATTCAAAAAGTATTAAACTTATTCCTCAGGGTCCCCGATGGATAAATGTTAACAAATGCAAAATTCCAGAAAGGTAGACACAGCTATTTATAAGGAAGGAGAGAATCATCATCTAGTTTTGGAAGAAAGAAGTATAATTTGTTTCTCTTTCCCTACCTCAGTATTTAGGGTTAATTTGTATGGAAAGAAGTGTATCAAATCCAGAGAGCTGTTTTGGAAAGAAATGTAAAGCAGCAATGGGATTAAAATGGTTGAAAATGAATTTAAGCCTTTTAGGTGAACAATTGTAGTGTCAGGAAAGAGGGAACGAGAAGTCACCATCATCCTTTGTCAAAACAACAATGAGAGACTCTTATTAAAAGTGCACTAGAATGAAGTCCTCAGTCATGTAAGTTCACTTCCCACTCCTTTCTCCTTTCCTCACCATGGGTGTTTTTCAAATAACAATCACTATTTTTTGAAGCCTGAATGGGGTTTCAGCGGGAACCAACTTTCTTTAGATAACCCTTCAAGGGAACCAAGCTGAAGGAGCCTGCATCTGTTCAGACTTCTGATTATTCTATTGAGCATCTTTATTATGAAGAGTTCATCCCTATGTTTTATAAAGAGAAAAAAAATGTTCTCGACCCATCAGAAAAAAATATTCTGCATTCTTGCAGCATCTTTTCCTGCTAACTTATCTTTTGTAGCAGACAATCAAACAATTGAATGGGCATCATTTTTCACGTGGCTACAGCTGAAACCTTTATTTTAAAAGTTCCCTGAGGAACATATTGTATCTACATGCATCCCATTCAGAAGGGGTAAAATAAATTCAAATATTCCTTTTGTTCATGTACCAGGGAAACATCAACGGAAATGATGACTGCACATGTACTCCATTTTTCATTGCTGTCTTGTGAACCACAACTATGTTCCACCATACCATAGACCAATTTTGAACCAGAGGAAAGGACTCACCACAGAACATCCCCTATTCTCTAAGCCCATTCAATCTTTTGCAAGGGAAGAGAATAGGGAGAAAGGAATCCCCACTATTATCTCTGTTCTATGGGGAAATGCAACAAAGGATGGATGAAGTCCACTGCATGCAACAGGGCTTTCTGGATTACGTTGGCAGCTAGAACTATTAGGTAAAAGGGCCATCACCAGTCAGAGAAGACAGTACTGGGCAGGACAAAACAATGCTTTAACTCAGCATGCAACAGCTTAACATATATAGTACACATTATCTTAATAGTAATCAACCTGGAGCAATTATATTTAAAATTTAAAGTTACTTTGCCTTAAAAATATGTTGACCAATATATTTTTGTTATAAGATGAAATGAGTTATTGGACCCTTTTCTTAGGAAATAAAACATTCATGGGTACTATCTTTTGTGCAATATCATTTGTTTGTTCTCTATGTGAGCACACACACAAAGGAAAGAGAGACTCTAATTCACTACCAGTGGAGCTTTAGAATGGTTTCTTGTTCATAAGTACTTATGAAAACGGTGTACATTTTATTAACCATGCACAGAAAGCAAAACCACAGGGACACTGTAACAAACTTGAAAATAATATTTTATTCTTCATGACAAATCAAAATAATAAAATGAGAGATACTTTTAGCAATGTGGTGCATTTGGCGGTTCTTCTTTATGTTCTATCTCATTTCCCTCTGAATTTTAAGATTTTCTTGCAATGAATTAAATCTTAATCAACAACAGAAGCATTTCTCAATTCACAAAAAGTAATTTACCTGTTTCTTCTCCTAATTACACTTATCTCTGACAGCCCAATATAGGTTGGGGATCAATTATATATATTAGGTATATGATCTCTCTTTTCCAACTATGTTTAATTTTAAGTGGCCTAGAAAGAATTTTTACCTGGTGGATTCTTGGCAGGATCGTTGTGACTCGGACTTCCTGATTGTCCAGAATCTAAAAAGAAAAGGAAGAAATTCATTACCACTTTTGCTCTGTCACATGAACTAAAATCTTCTGTATATAGTCCGTTTCAAAATGCTTATTCTAATACCTTTCCACCCAGAGCATTTTTTGGATATGATATGCTGGTGAATCTTTCATAAAACATTTATACTTTTAAAAAAGCAATTTGCTTGGAGGGAAGAACAGAAATTAAAATATTCCAGAGGCTGGAATTGCAAGTGGCTCAAATTATTTTTCAACATCCTGAAGAATCTATCCTAATTATTTAAATAGGGATCTTGGGTTTTCATTATCTTTGCTATAAAAACTTCGGCCAAAATTCTGTTCAGGAAGAACCATGTATGTATGCGCAATCACAGATGCAGTCTTCTTCTTTGCCTTGCTATCCGCTAACCTGCCCATGTTAGCCTAACAAAGCAGGATAACTTACAGTATGTGACTGTGTAAGACAACAGCATTCTGGCTTCTCTTATTTAAAGGTAATTGGGTATACATAGGCTTAAAATGAGACCATAGAAAAGAAGTTAGAGAAGGGTTTTTTCTTTTTACATTTCACATAGAAGCCCTAGCAAAATATAAATGAATAATTAATTTGCTTTTCCAAAAGTTTTTTAGAATTTTTATTTAATTTAAGACATGCATACACAGTGAAATGCAGCTGAGTCTAAATTTAAGTCTATCTGACAAGATATTTTTCTGGTGTGTGTATTGCCTTGAATGCAATTTTACTATACAATTAAGAAACATTCCAAATAAACCAAATAGCAATTCTAAATCCAGTTTCGACAAGGACAAGATCCATTCAAATAAAACAGGAAGTATGTATAAAGAGTTTTATAGTCCAGACCAATCTTCTTAAGAAATCCGCTGAGTTCAGATGATCTTGTTCCCAATTAAGCTTGGAAGAGACTGCAGGCCTATATTGCAAGCCTATATATAATTTCTCACAAAAATCCCAACGAACTGAATGATTCTTATTTCTGGATAAGTTAACTGTAATGTTACACTACCAAAAACGTACTGGGTTATGTAATATGATTCACAATAAAAACATGGTGTTAAAATGCTATTAGAAACTGTGAAAGGAATTGATGTCAGAACTTGCACAGCAATATCGTGAGCAATGTAAGTTATACGGTATTTTTTTATTTTATAATACAAAAACCCCCACCAAAAACACATATGTAACAACAAAAATACAGAAAAAATACAAATAATAGTGCTTATTATACACTAAATTCTAACATGTACCCCATACCCACGGGACTCCATTTAATAATATTTTATTACGGACTACCTCTCCAAAATTGTATTGAGTATTCTTTAGAGGCTTTCCCCCTT